AACACGTGAAAATTTAACTGGGAAAAATTTAACAAAATAAACAAAAATACAACAAACCATAGGCCACGTTACATTTTAAAACTAAGTCAATATGCAGCAGAGGGATCCTTATGTATGGATTAGTGTTCCCCATTTCTACTTGAGTCCTCCAGTTTATGATCTTTAATAAAAGTGTGAGAAATGGGCAGGTCATTCAATTCTAGGCCTCAGCTTCCTTCTCCTCTTTAGAACGCAAGAAATTCATGTACTACCCCTCCTGGGAAAGAAGTCATCAGCAAGATCCTGGCCTAGGTCTTAAGATCCAAAGATCTTCCAGGGTTTTCAAACCTGGTCCACTACATATCTAAGGAAGTTCACTGGACCCTGCACAGCCCGTGGACATTTAAGACTTACTGAATGAAGAAGTCCTGCTACTAATGAATGAGCAGTGACTTCTCATTTAGATCCCAAAATTAAAGGTATCACTTGATACTGTAATGTCATGATAACTAGGGATTCCTGTGGGTTGAGTACCCAAACAATAACTGACTCCAAGAATCCATGAACAATGAGGGTGTTCTGAACCATTACTGTCTATCAAGCATCACGTGGCCCAGATCAATGACACAATAGCCTAGCCCCAGTACAGGATCTCTCTCTGTAAGAGGTAACTCCTCCAGCAGCATGGGCTGCAACCCCATATGGGGTCATGACCCACAGTTTAAGAAGCGCTGAAGGAGTCAGAGTGGGAAAAGTTTAAGAAGCCCTGCTCTAAAAACCCAGGGTGGCAATTACTTAATTCTAGATAAAACAGTGTTGGCTTATTTTCAACTAGCAATCCTTAGAATCTTGAGTTGAAGATTCAGGAGACCTGGATTCTAGTTCTAGAACTGCTAACAACTTGCAGTAACCGGCCACCGTCTTCCCATCTGTTAAAAGGTATTTGTCCTACCTGCCTCACAGGGCTATTATAAGGGTAAAATAAAATACTTCATTTTTTTTTATTAAACTGAACAAAATTGACTAACTCAGAAAGTCCCAGATAAGGCAAGAAAACAGACAGGCGTCAAATATCTGTATTTGCAAAGATTATGATTATTACTTATAATAAAATTTGAAAGCAACAGGATTGCTATAATATTCTTTATGGAGAAATGATCAACTATAGAATGTGACTTCTACTTTCAATGGTTAGGCTGTTAGATTGATATTTTTAAATGACAATTGAATGGAAAGGAAAAGATTCCTAAAAGACAAATTTTGAAATGCAACAAACCCAAGAAAGAAAATATTTATTCAGAGAATTTCTTCATTATATCCATGAGTCAGTGTGACACATTAGGCCTTGGAAACTGAACAGTATTAAGATAATAGAGCTGCTATGATTCTGTACAGGGAAAAGTGCACTAGCTTAGAGGACAGGTCTTCCAATTCCCTCCCTTTCCATTTCCCTCCTGGGTTACCTGGGGCAATTCACCCCATCTCTCCAAGCCCCATTTTCCTCATCTGTAAAATGGGAAGATTAAGCCAAAGTCTCAGAGTTCTTTCCACCTCCAGGTCGCTATCTATGACCTCAGTTTCCTTTTCATTTCAATTTCCTAACACAAAAATTGTACAATTCTTCTGTTTTCCCTTTAGTTTCCATATCAAGAAACGAGAGTTACATAAATGACATATACAAGTATATTTTACTTATACATATACATGTTTATATGCATATGTATACACTGTAGATTTCTAATTAATTTTTTCAAAGATAAACACTAGAACAAGCATTCATATCACCACAGGATTACAGGTTTAGAGTTGGAAGGAACTCCCAGGCCAACTCCCTCAATTTACAGATGAGGAAACTGAAGCACACAGAGGTTTGCACCCAGGGTCACACTCCTAATATTTGAGGTAGGATTGGAAACTTGAATCTTCCTGACTTTAGGTCAAAGATCCTTAAACTGGGCTCCATGGATAGATGTCAGGGGGTCTGTAAACTCAGATGAGGGGGAAATTCCGCTTTAATTCTGACTAACCTCTATTGGATTTTTTTAGTATTCTCTCCAATAAACATTATCCTGAGAAAGGGTCCATTGACCAGACTGTCATTATATGACACCTTGCTGCGTAAATAAAAGGAAATCCTTGTTCCAAACTGGACTTCCCTGGCATGAACTTTTTTAAAAAATCTGGCTCTGTGACTTTGCTGATGTCATAATCACCGTCCCTTACTGCAGAGCAGCAAAGCTCTAAGTCAGTCTTAGCTGCAGCTGCCCATGGCAGGTAGCAGAGGGGATGCTTGAAGCCCCAAGGTCTGGCCTCCCCGGTGGCCTCTTCCTTCCACTCCACCACACTTGCTTCTTGGTCCCATGGAAGCAGACACAGAGACCAGCCATGATCCCAGCTTCCTTCCGGGCCCTGCTCAACCTTCGTCGACCACAAGAGGCCTTTCCTGATGCTCCAAGCTGTTCCTGCCTCTCCCCACGTTCCACTCTCCCAAATTACTCTGTACTTCATTTATTTGAGTTGCTCCCTCCCCATCATTAAACAGAAGTTCCTTGAGGACAAGCACTGTTCCATTTTCATCCTTTTATTCTCAGGGACCAGCAGGCACTTAACTAGAAAAGGCTCCACAGGGAAATGGGCTTACATATATTTTAGTCCAGTTTGGTTAGCTCTGGTCCTGACTATCACCAAGTCAAAGGGAGGCCCTGGGCAATTCAGCTTGGTAAAACCGTAAATGTTACGTCAAGCTGTTAAATAAAGTGTCATTACTATTATTATTCACCTCCTTAGGCCTCAGTTTCCTCATATGAGGGAACTGGCTAGATGATTTGAAGTCTTTTCTAACCATGATCCCCAAGGAATCTGGCACCAAGCCCAAAAGGAATTTAACAGATCTCACTTTCTCTTCCTATTACTTTGGGCAAGATATGGAGGGGATGACTAAGCCAACACAACTTTTGCAATCCAGAGAAACTCTCTATGAATCTAACTATTATGAAAACTATTTCCAAGACTGTCTTGAGGCACTGCAAAAGTGTCCTGTCTGTCCTAGCTGTATTCTCTCAAGAGGCAGACCACTTGGTACTGTTTTGATATAAAGTGATTTAGGTATCACCAATGAAGAGGTCGAATTTTTGTCTCATGTCACACCGCTGAAAGTGCTTAAGATGGCCTTCAGCTATATTCTTATAAATGGCCATAGGGCAGCAACTGAACAACCCATGAACAATTTAAATTCAGTACCTGCACCGTGTCATCTTAAAGGAGAAAAACTTAAACAAATGAAGACTCTGTGATTCATTCTATGCCCTCTAAAAAAGGAGTCTGCAGCATCAACATGCAGAAGGAAAAGGAAACCTGGCTTTTCTAGAGTACCTATTTTGTTGTTTAAAAAAATCTTAGGAGTGTTTCTAATCCCTATGTCATCCTTATCTGACAGCATACCTACAGATTAAGAAACTGAGATGGGGAGGTTAAGCAACTCCAAGTCATGTGAGTAAAGAAGGGAAAAGAACTCATTAAATCTTACCCTTCCTCACCCTTATTCTCCAATTCTATTCGTCTAGTAAGAACTCAAACTTTTCTGTATTAGTGATATTGTTAATACTTCCTGGTGATATTGTGAATACACGCTGGATGACAACACCTGAATCAAAACAAAAAATGCAACTACAAGGAGAAAAGAAACATTTGCCTGTGTTTTTAAGGGTAGTTCTACCTTAGCAAAATGAAAACTCTTAGCCACATTCACTTCTAGAGGATAAATAAAACTAGGTTCAAGCTTCTAAATTCTCCAAACTACTTCAAAAAAGTAAATTAAAATGGTATATCAAGTCACTGGGGAACAGACTTACGGTACATGATCTTTCATAAATCAGTTACCATGATCTCTATGGCAAGTGAAATCACATTCACCTATTTCCTGGTCCTCATCATCTAACCCTAAGAACCCTATCTGCCCCACACATCTAAATTATTCTGTAACCTTAGTTTCAGTCATAACAAAACTATATTCCAAAGTTTCACAGATCTGGAGCAGAAGGGCCCTCTCAAAAGTCATTGAGTCAACCTCATTTTACAAATGAAGAAACTGAGGCTACAGGTTGCCTAATGACAACCAAACCCAAACTCAAAGCCACTATATCACGTTCTTTCTCTCACAAAGAGATACCTTCACTTGGAATTACACTACTCCTCTGACATACGGTAATTTTTTTTTTTTTCTGTGATCAATTCCTAGTAAGACTAAAGATGAAAAATGGGTACAAAAACAGTTTTACTTTTTTTGTTAACTTCATAAACAGTGCGCATCTTAGTCAATTTCCAAAAAGAATAACACATTGGTTGGCGTGGTCCTCAAAAGGATGCGATCTGGGGGAAAGTTGATAACTTCGGAGCCTCAGGACCAGAGCTCCCGGCCGAACCCCAGCCCCAGCAGCGCCCGCGGGGCTCCGGGACACAGACAACGTCTGCCGCGCCGCACGTAGGTGGGACCTCGGGTCGGAAGATGCTAATTAAAACGTAACCGACCGCAGCCTCGGCTCACGCCCGGCCACCCACATGCAGAGCCCCTCGCAAGTTTGCGACTCGCGAGTAAATCAAAGGAACTTGTTCACGAGCGAAAGTCGAACTCGGGGGGGGGGGGGGGAGAAGCCCCGAGGAAGAGAAGCCCCTCCCACGGGCGCCTGGGATTCCCCAGTGTCCCGCACGGGACCCGCGCTGCTGCACCGAGAGCCATCCCGCGCGGGGCGGCCCTCAGTCCTCCGCCGGGGGAATGGGCTGCCTCCTGCCCAGACACCCGCAGCGTCCGGGGGACAACCGAGAGTCTCGCGGCGGAGCAAGGTCACGCTCGCGGGAGGAGGATTCATGCGCGGCCTCACCCACACCCCGCCATCCCCGACCCCACTTACCTCCCCGGGCCGGAGGGGCAGGGCCACCTGTCCGCCCCGGCCTCGGCCCCGCCCGGGCGCCCCCTCTCCCAGCCCGGGCCTCCTCGCCCGCCCCGTCCGCCCGTGGCCGCCTACCTGGAGGAGAGGGCGGCGGAGCAGCGCACCCAGGGCCCCAGGTCGCAGAGGGCCCGCGCCTCGGGGTCCCGCTCCTTCTCGCGCTCCACGTGGTAGGCGTACAGGGAGAGCAGGATGCCGGCGGCGCACACGGCGCACCGGGCCGCCCGCTCCCAGCGCGGCACCGACACCCGCAGCACGGGCGCCGCCATCTTCCGCGCCCGATCCTCCTCGGCCGCCGCCGCCTCAGCCGCCGCTGCCCGCCGTCTCAGCCACCGCCGCCGCCCGCCGGGGCCCTACCCAGCCTCAGGCTGACCCCAGCGCCTGCCCCCGCCCAGCCCCAGCCGCTGCCGCCTCCTCGGCTGCCGCCGCCTCTACCGCCTCCCCCGCGGCCGCCGTTGCCGCCGCCGCCGCCACCGTCGCCGCCGCCGCACGCCGCCGCGCCCCATTGGCTCAGCCGCCGCCGCCGGGCCCCGCCCCCTGACGGCGCGCGGACGGGCCGGGCCGGCCGGGGGAGGGGAGGAGGGAGCGGGCATTCTGGGCGGGGTGGGGAAGGAGGCGGGAGCGCGCGCCCCGCCCCCGCCCCCGCCCCCGTCCGGCTGCGCGCGGCTCCGCCTGGGAGCGAGAGAGCGAGTTGGAGCGCCCCTGGGAGGGGCTGGGGCTCGGGGGCGCGCGCAGAAGGGGCGGGGCGCGCCGGGAGGGAGGGAGGGACGGCGCCGCGCCCCGGGGATGCCGGCCGAGCCGGTGCCACGGCGGCGGGACCCAGTACCCGCAGAAGGCGACAGTTCTCAGGCGCTCGTGGGCTCGCCGCCCGCCCACCAGAGTCCTTGTGCTTTCCCAGAAATGAGGGAGGGATCCCCGGGGCCGCAGGTGCACCCTCCTGGCCCAGAAGGGAGAGCCACTCCCTCTCAACCACTCCCCCACTCCACGTCCTCCCCCTCCAGAGCATCCCCTCACCCCCCTCCCCCTCCCCCTCCAGAGCATCCCAGTCTCCAGAGTCCAGGGTACAGAGCCCCCAGCCCGGCAGCCTCCCGGGGATGAGGTCTGTCCTGGGGCTGAAAACAGCTGTTCAGCCCTGGTTGAGTCACTGTTCCTTAGATACCTGCACCCCGAGGGGCTAAAGAGCCAGCCTCGATACCCTGAATTCAGACCTACCTCAGGCTACTCACTAGCTGTTTGACCTCCGGGAAGTCACTTAATCCCGCTCACCTTACACACTCCCCGGAATCCGATGACCCTGGTCTTGTGGCCGGTCTCCTCTTCGAGCCCTTGCACTGGCTGTCCCAGGAAAACATTCTCCTCCCTGACTTCCCTGGCTCCCTTCAAGTCTCAACCCAAGAAGACTTTCCCAATCCCCCTTAACCCTAGTGCCTCCCCTCTGAGATCACCTCCCTGGCCTCCAGACCTCCAGAGATCACCTCTATTACCTTGCTTTACATATTACCTCACTTGATCGTCACAAACAACCCTGGGGTATCGGGGCTGTTATTATTATTTATCCCCATTTTACAATTCACAAGCGCCTGCCTTGTTGTGCCAGGTACTGGGGGCTGAGAGAGGCAAACACACCAGCCCTACCTTCGAAGAAGACACGTTTTAATGGGAGAAACAACATGAAAACATTGGTCATACAAGGTGCATTCAGAGCAAATGTCTTTGAGCTCCCTGAAGGTCCCGACTATACACAGAAGACTCAGAAAGCAGGATTTTCCCCCCTTTGTGGAGCTTACCATCTGGAGGGCTTGCTAAGTAGAGAACTGCCCTAGTTTTATATTTATCTGTCAAATGAAGTTTTCTAAGGTTCCCTTCCCTGCCACTGTCTAGAGAGTATATTTAGGGCGCCTATCTGTAAGTGAATGTATGAGAATGGATGAGCAGGGGAAGTTGATTAGAATTAGAGGAAAGAGAGACAAAAAAAGGGAGAGAGGAGAGAGAGAGAACTGGAAGAGTACACAAGTCAGAGTATCTTTTCCTGAGAGGAGATGTTTGCTTAACACTGAACATAGTAGGTGCCTAATAGGTGCTTGTTCCCTTCCCCGATTTTCACTTCTGCCTCAGAAGCAGGGCACTTGCCAAATCTAAGTTGATAATGAAGCCACGACCTCTGGTTCCATTGGTTAGGCCTTCAGGGAAAGCTGCCTGCCAAGCATTTTCTACCGGGAATGCCTTCGAGGGTCAACTTAAGGGTGTGGTAATCAGCGGGAGGCCTTGTCAGCTGCCTGTCCACATGCCTGTCTGCTGCAGGACCGTGGAAAAATCTTTCTACAGCCCTAGAAAACAAGCCCCACTCCAAAGGGGTATGGGGCCAACTGATGGTAGGTCCAAGCATCATCTCCACATCCCAAGGAGAACACATTCTGCTTTTGTTACATCATCGTTATAGAGGAGGAACAGTATTTTTTAATGGCTGGCCGAGGGAAAAGGTGGTGAACTGACCAATTATGATTGAATTGTGCTCTTCTCCACAAGGATAACATCACAGAACCATCCTAAGCAGGACATGTGCAGGGAGGCTAGCTCTCCTCATGCATTCCATTGGTTGGTCAGTCACCCAAGTGTGTCGAGTGTGCTATTCTTTCTCCTGCCCTCCCCAGCGGCCTAACCAACTTGAAAAATCCCTTCCAGTTTCCTGCCTGGGGTGAATCTGGAATAAAAGAGACACAGATCCTCTTTTCCTCATGCCAGTGTCACGGCCTCATCCCCGAAGTTGTCTAGAAAGATGAATGATGTCCTCATTATTATTATTCTAGTCATGAGAAATATTAATTGTCCTACTTCCTCATTACAGTAGATCTCCTGATTCATTGAAGCAGCCTGAAGCATCATTAAGGGTCCACTTCATGATGGCCTCTGGCCACCCTGTCTGCTACTGCACCTATTTCAAAGACGGGTGTAGTTGCTCTGCCTGTGACCTTTGGTAGATTGGCAAGTAAAGCCAGGAATTGCCACGCCAAGGCTGAAGAGACTCCACTGAGCCTCAGACGTCTCACTACATGACTTATTGTTGCAGAAATCAGTCTTTAGCACACTTTAAAAAAGTGAACCCACAAAACACATCCCCGAATATCACCAAAGGCCTGCAGATTCCTCAGAGCCTTGCTGATTTCAAAGAATGAAGTGCCTGACTTGAGTCTCTTCGTCATTGGTATCTCACATTGCATATTTATGGGGCCCTTGCCCTTATCTTAGAGGTCTTGAGGCTGTCTTGAGAGCCCTTTAAGAACTGGAGTTGCAGGGGCAGGCCCTGGATTCAGGAGAACCTGAGTTCAAATCCGGCCTCAGACATGTAACACTCACTAGCTGTGTGACCCAGGGCAAGTCACTTAACCCCATTGCCCAACCAAAAAAAAAAAAAAAAAGAATTAGAGTTGCCTGTTTCCACAGCTCTTCCCAGTCCTTGGTTAGGCACCTAGATTCTTGATTCCATACCAGTGAGGAAAAAAAGGTTTCCATACTTCAGAAACTCTTCTTATTCCAGGAAAGAGCTTATGTTCTGGTTGCAGAACAAACAGAGTATTAATGATTTACTTTATGGCCTTATATGGAAAAAATAACACAATGTTAATATGATGGGCTGATTTTTTAAAAATGATAAATGCCTGTTTCCCAAGCTTTTTAAAACAATAAGATTGTAGTTATGGTTGTTATTTTTGTCCTTCGTTCTCGAAGAGGACCATGGCATCAGGAAGGTGATGCCATGACACGCAAGTGAATTGGATTTAAGTGAGGGAGGGCTGTTCAAAGTCACCAGCCTCACTCTCTCCTCTGGAACCATCTGGGTCTGGTAGCAAGATGTAAATCAGGACAACTGGAGACAGCCCCCAAGACAATAAGAACTTTATTCTAAAAAGATAAGAGGACATCTAAACCAAGATGTAGTTGGTGTGTTTAAAGCAGAGCACAAGCCAAAAATAATTCTTCCGAAACAATGGATTCCTACTGGGGATGTGTGTTATAAACATTTGTCTGCCAATAGAACGGCTATGGATTTTTCATCATTTGGTTTGTCTAAAAACATCCTAATTAACTCGCCTAAGAAACTCTGTGTAACTCTCTAACGATTCACAAAAGGCCTGAGAGTAAATTGGTTGAAACTCATTAAGAAATGCTTCACCTGCTTTTATAATCCAGTTTGTCATTTTTCCATGAACAATTAATGTTACTATCCTTGAAATGTTTTTTTCAGATGCGTCTCCCGTAGAATTCGTATACTGGCAACACAACCTGTTCTAGCCAGTCTTCAGACCAGGAACAAGACGCCACTTCTCTTTGATGCAGAAATCACAAAAACATACTTAATGAGGACAAGGCTTTGGGAGTCATGGCCCTATTCCTTAAATGTCCCGGAAGGCTTTGAATCCTTGGGTCTTTGATGGAACTAAAAAATGTCACCTTCTATACACATCTAGTGCTGATTAGCATGAGGTCAAATTTGCTGGAAGTCAAATTAAATCCAAACGTTCTTCCTGGGTCCTGCCCCCAATACATACAACTAGGTTCACAGATCAAGGAATTACGCAGCAAGCCATTCCTAAATCACAATGAAGGTCAGATTCTTAGGAAAATGTTATGCTGTGGATTCCTTATTGCTTGAAATATCTTTGGGAATTAAAGTAGTCCAGTTATCACTTCCCCTTAGACCTATTCCAGAACATAATTAAACTACTCAAGGACTCGGGGGATGAACAATTCCATGGGGCTTCTATAAAATTCTATTTGTGAACCTCATGCCTGCCACAGGAGGTTTGCTCAACTCTTTTTGTCACATGGGCACAGCACCCAGTCTTCTCTAGGCATTCACATTTTAACAAACTATGAATGTGCCCTTTGTTTTCTCAAATCAGGATGTAGGGGGTAAGTATCCTTATTGGTCACATAGGAAATGGGAATTCAATTCCCCAACGGGAACACTTTTAAAATTACAGAGGAAGTATACTCTGGTGGAAAAAAAAAAAAAAAGGTGAATTAGGAGTACAAAGACATGGGTTCGAGCTTCAGTTCTGCCATTAGCTAGCAGTGTGACATGGGCAAGTCAGCACAAGTCTCTGAACCTCCTCTTTATCTATAAAATAAATTGTATAATTTTTATAATTGTATAATAATTATATTATATAATAATTGTAAAAATAAGTAGAAAGTCTTGTAATCCCATCTACTCGAGAGGCTAAAGCTGGTGGATCACTTGAGCACTGGAGTTCTAAGCTGTAGTGGGCTATGCTGACTGACAGTCACCACTAAGTTTGGCATTGATAGGGTAAGACCCTAGGAGCAAGGCAGAAGGTGACCAGAAGCACACCTCAGGAGGGTCAAACTGGCCTAGGCCGGAAATGCAGGTCAAAGCTACTGTACTGGTTAGTACTGATTAGTCATGTGACTAATTAGTATTGATTTGTCATGTGGCTATAGTTTTTATTTCTTCATTGAAAAACTGCCTGTTCCTATCTATGGTCATATGAAAAAATGCTGTCAATCATTATTGATTAGAGAAATGTACATCACACCTATCAGATTGGCTAACATGACGAAACAGGAAAATAATAAATGTTGGAGAAGATGTGGGAAATTTGGAACACTGATGCGTTGTTGGTGTAGTTGTAAACTGATCCAACCATTCTAGAGAGCAATTTGGAACTATGCACAAAGGGCTATAAAACTGTGCATACTCTTTGACCCAGCAATACCACCTCTAAGTCTGTATCCCAAAGAGATCATAAAAACTTGAAAAGGGGGGCAGCTAGTGGCACAGTGGATTCAGGAGGACCTGAGTTCAAATCCGGCCTCGGACACTTGAAACTTACTAGCTGTATGAGCCTGAGCAAGTCACTTAACCCCATTGCCTAGCAAAGAAAACAAACAAAAAAAAAAACTGGCAAAAGGACCCACATGTACAAAATATTTATAGAAGTTCTTTCTGTGGTAGCCAAGAACTGGAAATTGAGGAGCTGCCCATCAATTAGGAATGGCTGAACAAGTTGTGGTATATGAATGTGATGGAATACTATTGTGCTATAAGAAATGATGAGCAAGCAGACTTCAGAAAAACCAAGAAAGACTTGTATGGACTGATGCTAAATGAAGTGAGCAGAACCAGGAGAACATTGTACACATAATAGCCACGTTGTGCAATGACTAACCTTGATAGACTTAACTCTTCTCAGCAATACAAAGATCTAAGACAATTTCAAAAGACTCATGATGGAAAATGCTGTTCACATCCAGAAAAAGGACTGTGAAGTCTGAATGCAGATTGAAGCATACTATTTTCTCTCTTTTTTTTTCTTTTGTTTCTTCTTTCTCCTGGTTTTTTTCTTTGGTTCTCATTCTTCTTTACAACATGACTAATGTGGAAATATGTTTAATATAATTGTACATGTATAGCCTATATCAGATTGTGTGCCATCTGGTAGAAGGGGGAGCAGAGGGAGGGAGAGAAAATTTAGAACTCAAAATCTTATAGAATTGAATGTTGAAAACTAAAAACAAATAAATAAAATTATAAATGTAAAAAAAAACAAAACAAAAGAAAAACTGCCTGTTCATATCCTTTGACCATTTATCAAGAGGGGAATGACTTGTATTTTACTAAATTTGACGAAGTTCTTTATATGTTTGAGAAATGAGATCTTTATCTGAGAGGCTAAGAAAATTTTCCCCCAGTTTTCTGCTTTCCTTCTAATCTTGGCTACATTGGTTTTATTTGTACAAGAACTTTTAAATTAACATAATTGAAGTTATCCATTTTACACCTCACAATGTTCTCTCTCTTGTTATTGTTCTCCTATCCATGATTGTTCTCCTATCCATAAGTCTAATAGGTAATGTTCCATGTTCTTCTAATTTTCTTGTGAGATCTCCCTTTATACCTAGGTCATGTATCCATTTTGACCTTATCTTGGTACATGGCTTAAAATACTGGTCTATGCCCAATTTCTGCCAGACTGCTTTCCCAACAATTTTTACCAAATAATGAATTCTTATCCCCAAAACTTAGATCTTTACATTTGTCAAACACAAAGTTACTATAATCCTTTACTACTATGTATTGTATGTCTATTCTGTTCCACTGATCTATTTTTCTATTTCTTATCCAGTACCATGTAGTTTTGATATTTACTGTTTTATAGTGTAGTTTGAGGTCTGGTGCTACTGAACTTCCTTCCTTTACATTTTTTTTTCATTAGTTTCCTTGAA